CATCTCCCAAAAGGCAATTCCCCCCTTTTTTCCCAGTTTTTTTCTCTCCTACACCTCTGATTACAACACCCACCAACGTGGTGGTGCCAAACATACACCAAGAGTTTGGCTTTTCTGGGATCAGGATAGAATAAATTAACAAAAGGAAGGGGGATTGTTGAGGTTATTTCCACTTTTAAAAAGCACTTTGGGCCGGGGGAGAAGCTCCAAGACAACTTTTAACCACGGATTTTGACGCAGCCGCTCGGAGTTTCTCCCAGCTGCACGTTTTCCTGGAAAACAGGTGACTGAGCAGGAATTCTACCCCATCCCCATCTTTTACCTGGGTGGTCTGTGCATATCCTTGGGCTGGCTGAGGTGCATAGGCGCTGTAGCTGTGGAATGAATGTAAAGACATTTATAATCTTGCCCCAAATCTGCATCACCAGACAAATTTTCACGCAGCCCAACAGTTTCCGCTGAAATTCTATGGGAATACAAAGCTCCAGGAAAACCCTCAGGATTTCCAAACATACCTGAGTCAAGCCCAAACCATAATTATTATTTACTTTTATTACATCTTTTTAAAACAGGAAGAATAAGCTACTTACCCCTGCTGAGCTGCAGCTTGGCTATAGGTACTGTAATCTAAAAGAAAAGGAGAAGAAAAAGAATAAAAACATTGATAAAGGCTTAACAAAATTAAAGAGTCCAAGAGCTCAGCAGCTGGAATTTCCTCCTGCAGCTCACTATAAACCACTGGAATTCCAGTTTCCCAAGGGTGGAAGGTAAATGCACGTTTTCAGCCCTTTTTTTTTGAGGGGAACAAAACCTCTCTTCCCCTCATTGTTCCTGCTGCTTGCAGCAGCGACTTTGATCTCAAATGACCCCGCTTCAATTTAACTGCCACCTTGGATGGATCCCAGGGGGCTGGCAGGGGGGGATTTGGGTTGGAACAAAGGAAAAACAGGGATTTGAGCCTTACAAACCCGCCACCCTGCTTTGAAAGGGCCAGGCTGGAAGGTTTCACCACCTTCACACTTTCCCTTTCAAGGACACAAATCGATGGCTGGAAAGCCACTTGTCCCCTGGAAGGGCTGGAGCTGGGAAGCTGGGAGTGATTCCCCCCTCCAAATCCTCAATCCATGTCAGCCTGGGAGGGGAACCAAAGTCCTGAAAATCCAAGCAGCAAAGCCTGTGCTGAACTGATTTGCTGGCAGGGATGGAAAAAGAATCCACATGGCAATTAGGAGGCTAAATTTGAAACGACTGCAGCTCCCAGTTCCCTCACAGGCACCAACAGCTCCAGCTCCCATCCCAGGGTCTGGAGCAGGGATGAATTCATCATTCCCAGCACACCTGGCCAGAGATTCTGGCTCTCCCAGGACCACAGAAGGCCTGAGATCAGGAATGAGCCCAGAACTTCCTGGTTGAGGCCACAGCACCTGAGCCAGAGGCAGGAGCTGGATCAGTGGAACTGTTCCCAGACATTCCTGTGTGGGAGGAGTTTCCAGTGCTCCCATCACCATCACACCTTGGACAGAATTCCAAGTTAATCCCAGAATCATGGAATATCCTGAGTTGGGAGAGACCCACATGGATCTCGTTCAACTCCTGCCTTGGAGAATTTGAGGAAGCAACTGCCCAGCTTTAATTATCCCACTATTCCCAAGGTGATGGAGCCCCAGGAATCACTTGGGAAACACAGCTTCCATCCACCACAACCTCCTGTTCCTCAGACTGTGCATCCAGCCCTACTAAACCCTTCCTCCCCACCCTCCAGGTGCACTCCCAGCTTTTCCTCCTGCTCCCTGTGCAGGAGCAGAGCCCCTGGATCCGTGCTGGAGGCAGGAATGGCCCTGCTGTGATCCCAGCAGGAATTCCTGGCGTTATTAATTCCCTTGACCTTGCCCAGAGCACCTCACACGGAGAAAGAAGACACTTGGAGTTCTCCAAAGGTTTCCCCGCTCCCAGGACACAAGGCACAAGTTGTTAAACCCCTCTGGCATCATTCCCACTTCCCTCTCAGGTTGGCATGTGGAATATTGGAACATTTTCTTTGTTCAGTTCAGGGTTTTTCTGCTTTTCTTTTTTAATTCACTTTACACGTGGTTCTGCTAAATCCTGAGTGTTAATTAATGGTCCCACTCGTCCAGCTTCCCTTTCCTACCACCTCCTCATCCCACTCTTTTCCCTGCTCACCCTCCAGCCACCGAAACCTCATTTAATTCTCCATTTTCAGCCTCCTTTTGGCCTCAAGCTCCACACAGGGGCATCAATTAACCCCTCTCCTCACAGCCCTCCCCCACTCCCAACATTTGCCCCATTGCAGGATTTAATTCCAGGTGTGGAATTTGCAGTTTGCCTGTGGTGATGCCTCTCTTTTAATTTGCTGGGATTCAGAGGAACACAGAACATTAATAAAAAATAATATTATGGTTCATTTAGTTAAACCCATCTCCTGGCTTTATTTCCAGGGGGAAATTAATCTTCATCCTTTTATTTCATGAGGCTCTGGAGCACACCAGAGGCTGAAAACAGCAGCTCCCAGGAGGAACAATTCCATGAATTAAGGGAAAACACAGCTGTGGTTTTAACCCCCATTTTGACAATTCCATTGGCAGATGTTCCTTTACTGACTTTCCTTTTTCAAGCTCTCCAAGATGCTGGTGGTGATATTCCCTCACTCTCCATGGCCTGAGACATTTTCCTTTCTGGAAAAAAGGAAAATCCTCCTTCTTTAAGGAGTCAGATCTTGGTTTGCTGGGCTTTAAAGTACTTTAAAGGTGATGTTGGCACAGTTGGGAAGTCTCAGTTTCCAACTATTTGTCTACAGCTGGAGCCCTCGTGGAAAAAACATTTCCTTCAGATAAATCTGGAGCCATGGAAATGATGGAACACCTTACTTCCCTATGGGGTAAAGCTGGGAGAGAAGGCTCCAGGGACACCTCAGAGCCCCTTCCAGGGCCTAAAGGGGCTTCGGGAGAGCTGGAGAGGGACTGGGGACAAGGGATGGAGGGACAGGACACAGGGAATGGCTCCCACTGCCAGAGGGCAGGGCTGGATGGGATATTGGGAAGGAATTCCCGGCTGTGAGGCGCTGGAATGGATATCCCAGAGGATGCTCCAGCTCTGGAAGTGTCCAAGGCCAGGCTGGACGGGGCTGGGAGCAACCTGAGCTAGTGGAAGGTGTCCCTGTCCATGGGATAAGGTTTAAGGCTTGTTCCCACCCCAAGCATTCCATAATCCCCCATCTGCACCAAAAGCCGCCCCGCGGAGCCCGGCAGGGCCGAAAGCGCGGAGGGAGCCCCGGCTCGGCGCTTCGCTCCCGGGAGCGCGGAGCTCCGGGAATCCCGCAGGGCCATAGCACCGAGGGGCCGCAGCTGAAGCACCGGACCCTGAGGGGAAACACCCGCGGCCCCGGCGAGGCCCGAGCGGGCGGCGCGGGGGGACACGGGCGAGACGGGCCCCGCTCGGCCCGACCCCAGCGGCCCCCGGGCTCGGCGCTACGGGCCGGCGGTGCCGCCTCAGCACTGCTCCGGCCACCCCGTGGCGGGGGCGGCGGCGCTGCCGGGGGTCCCGTCCCGTCTCGCCCCCGCCCCGGGCCCGGCCCGCCCCGGCCCCGCTCACCCGTCGACGCCATTTTCTCGCCTTCCTCCTCCGCGCTGCCCGCCCGGCCCCGCCCCGCGCCGCGCATGCGCCGCCCGGCCCCGCCGCGCGCACCACCCCGCGCCCGGGGGGGACCGCCGGGAGGACGCGCTCCTGGGGCTCGGCCCGCCCCGCTCCGCCGCCCGCCCGCCGGTTTTACTGTCCGCGGAGAACCGGAACGGCCCCGCGGGCAGCACTCGCTGCTCGGGAGCGCGTTTCTGCCGCCTCCCTGGGCGCTCCCCCCCCGCCGGGCGGTGGGGTGGTACGGCCTGCGGCCGTTAGGGACCGTCGCGCAAGAGGCGCTCGGGGCGCGAGGCGGAGCGAGGGACGTGACGTCACGGCGGGCGTAGTGATGTCATTGCGGCGTAACGGGCGGCGCGGAGCCGCTGTGACGTCACGCAGCGTGCCCGGCGGCACGCGCTGTGCCCGGGTGTCGTGCGGTCTCCTGAGGGCGCCTCCTGGCACACGGGGCCACCAGGTGACGCCATGGGCTGTGTGTGACATCACCGGGTGCCACGGGTCGCGTGCCAAGAAGTGGCACCTAGCTGGGGTCTCGTGCTGTGCCTGCCATTAGACGCTGGTCACAAGGATGACGTCACAGTGTGACATCACCGTGTGACATCATCCCCCCAAGCTGCTTGGTGGCGTGTCCCGTGAGGTCACGGGAGGGGTGTCCCATGAGTGGTGTGACATGGGTGGGTGTCCCAGGGGGGACATCGCATGGATTGGTGTCACATCGTGGGGGCGAGTCCCATGGCACAGCCACGTGACCCCTGCGTGCCCCTGAATGTCATCCCATCCCATCCCCATCCCATCCCAGTTCCCATCCCCATCTCATCCCCATCCCCATCTCATCCCAGTTCCCATCCCCATCCCATCCCCATCCCATCCCCATCCCATCCCAGTTCCCATCCCCATC